GCATACTGCCTAGGGGGGCTTCTTGGGGGTAGGACGCCTCGTGTTAAAAAGCCACTTTATTCGGTACTTGATACTATGTTTACGAAGGGAGAAAAGTGCCCCTTGCATGCGTGCCTGCCAATAAACAACTGAATAAACGGAGGTAGGCATGCATGGGCCTACTAAGGGGGGGAAAGAAGAAGGGCGGCATAAGACACCAAGAGCCGCTCCATCACTCAGGCCGCTTGGGCGGGAAAGAGGCGGCAGGGCGGGGTCAACCAAACGGCCCTGCTGATATCCTTCCGCTCTCACGACATCCTGCACAGGAGGCGCCTTCCGCCACCGCCCGGCTTCTCAGTCAGTCGCTCCTTCCTTTGTGCCTTGCTGCCGGTCTCCTTTTGTTCCGGGAGGCTGCGGCATTCCCCCGGCGGATTCCCCTCTCTCTACGCAGCGAGATGATGACCGACGGCCGGGAAGACTCGGCGGAGCTTGTAGGAGAGGCCGCCCACCGCGGGCTTTCTGCTCGGGGAGCCCACATAGCCGGCGGTGCGAACGGGCTGCTGGAGAAGGGGTTCGACATGTATATCCGGGACCCCTTTGACGCGGAGCGGAACCCGCAGGTGAGGGGCGCTCCTCGTCCCGGCCGTCCCTTTGGAAGAGCTTTAATAACAATCTGCCATAGCAACCATTCAGGTGGCTGTGAATAGGCCAGGATTCCTAATTTATGCCTGTTTGATCCAATGGGTTATCCCACTGAGAATTTTCTATCAAAAATATATTTGCATTACAATCCGGGGTTTGTTTACCCAGAGGTAAATCTGACTCCTTACTGAAAGTAATCACAATTTAGTCCTGCCCTGGAGCGATCAGAATTGACCCTAACCAGAAACTGCGAAATTAACGGAGAAATATTTACAAGGCTTTTAAAGACAGTTGTTTGGTTGCATACTGCCTAGGGGGACTTCTTGGGGGTAGGACGCCTCGTGTTAAAAAGCCACTTTATACTATGTTTACGAAGGGAGAAAAGTGCCCTTTGCATGCGTGCCTGCCAATAAACAACTGAATAAACGGAGGTAGGCATGCATGGGCCTACTAAGGGGGGGAAAGAAGAAGGGCGGCATAAGACACCAAGAGCCGCTCCATCACTCAGGCCGCTTGGGCGGGAAAGAGGCGGCAGGGCGGGGTCAACCAAACGGCCCTGCTGATATCCTTCCGCTCTCACGACATCCTGCACAGGAGGCGCCTTCCGCCACCGCCCGGCTTCTCAGTCAGTCGCTCCTTCCTTTGTGCCTTGCTGCCGGTCTCCTTTTGTTCCGGGAGGCTGCGGCATTCCCCCGGCGGATTCCCCTCTCTCTACGCAGCGAGATGATGACCGACGGCCGGGAAGACTCGGCGGAGCTTGTAGGAGAGGCCGCCCACCGCGGGCTTTCTGCTCGGGGAGCCCACATAGCCGGCGGCGCGAACGGGCTGCTGGAGAAGGGGTTCGACATGTATATCCGGGACCCCTTTGACGCGGAGCGGAACCCGCAGGTGAGGGGCGCTCCTCGTCCCGGCCGTCCCCCCCCCTCCCCGGCCGGCTTGGGGGACCCCGCCTCGCCTGCAGACAGGGATGATGTAGGGCGACTAAAAGTGTAATTATGGAAGACCCGGATTGAGGATGGGGGCGATGTGAGGAAACGGGGTCATGTAGAGGGATGGGAATCGCTGCAGTGTCTGCATGAAGAAGAGGGGAGGAGGGTGGTAGGAAGGCGTAGGAATACTTGGGGAACGGAGTATGTGAATGTTGTAGAAAAAGGAATGTCAAGAAGGGGGTGTGGGAGGGAGTTTTGTAGGTGGGGGAAGAGAAGATGTGGGGCACAGCCCCAAGAGCTTAAGAGGGTTTGGGGGGGGGGATTGGAAGAGGATAGGCATCTTTGTATCTAGGCTGGAGCTTTGCTGCAGCTCTCAGGAGGGAAGGAGGCTTCCAGGTAAATATTCTTTATGGAGGTCAGGATTTCTGGATGGTTGGTGAACGAATGATGGCAGAAGTACTTCTACTGTTCCTTTCAGCCGGAGCTCCGCTGGCACAGCGTCGCCCTGAGCTCAAGCGGAGGGAGTTCCGTCCGGTTTGCACAAGCGGGAGGGTGACGTTATTCCCTGACCTGAAATCCCCTTGCTAGAAAACTGCTTGTACAGCTTCTTCTCACTGTTAGTCTAGGCTGCAGAAGAACTCAGCATGGGCATAAAGCTGTAGTCTTATATAAGAAAACATGCATAACCTATCTGTAGAAAATGGGAAGAAATCTCTAATGGGATATATTGATTTTAAAATGCCGAAGTAGATCCCTGATGATAAATGCAACTGTTTTTTTGACATGTCTCTAAAACGATATTTTAGTTTTGCTGTGTATAATGTTACTTCTTTGCTTATATTGTGGGAAAATATGTTCACTGTAGTAGTGTAGTTCTGTATTGCCTTTTGGTTCATTAGTTTTCTAACCAGGAAGAGTGTGCGGCAAAATTTTCAAGATTTTCCATGTTGGTGCAGAACAGCATGAGTGGCTGTAGCTCTTTAATGCATTATTTTGTTCCCAGGGCATTTTGAATTTTGGAACAAGCGAGAACAGGCTTTGCTATGATTTAATACACGGAAGGGTAAGTTTGGCTACACACATGAATAGTGTGGGTTACAGATTTTGGAAATCATAATTTGCATTTGTGGTTTTGATTTCTTGTTGAATAGTCAAACATGATGTCTGATAGTACTAAATATGCAACAAAGTAATGAACCTGCTGCATTAATAACCAATGATTCAGTAGATGGCAAGGAGGACCATGGGAATATATTCCTTGCTGCATACTGGTCCAGTGATATAGGGGAATTTCAGACAGCCAATCTATTCCGGTTCAGGAACTGTTCCCTAACGGTTTCTGGTCTGACGTTTCAGACAAAACCGTTTTAGTAACGGTTCCCTACCAGAATATATCTTCACTTTCAGACAGAAACGCTTCTGTCCCATTCAGGAAACATGGCTGAACCGTTTTACCTGCAAACTGCTTCCAAGCGGTCTCCACTTTTCTATACCATTTCTGAAACGCTACAGGGTGCTGTGTAAAATGCTCCTGTGCTGCTTTGTTTTCCAGCCCTTTTTTGCCCATCCGGGCGATAACGTTCGTTTTAGAGTGCTATGGCGCTATAACGCCATAACAGAACACCAAAACAGCGACCCCATTGGAATGCCTGGACTCCACTGGGGTACATGAGATCGCTACATCTGCCACCTGGAAACAAGTACCTCATTGGACTGCAGGCTTTGGCAGGAAATCAGGGCATCAGTGATTGGTGTGACAGATGTTGCTGACCCTTCCATGCCCACTGTGAGTCCTTGCATTGTGGGGGGATGACAGAATCCAGGAAACTCTGCATTCGTCCCAAAGAAATTATGCTTATTTCCAAGGCAGACCTTCTTGTTGAAGAGCTCCTCCAGAATCACCTCCTTCACAATAAGGAATGCAGTTGACAGGCCCACACCAAACTGATGTCTAAGTTCCCTGAATACTTCTTGCTTGGCCAGGTACCATAGGGTGATGGCCAGTCTTTTCTCCACTGGAATGGATATCCTAATGTGAGTGTTCTGCCACTCCAGACAGTGCCCCAGGTAACCAGCTAGTTCAAAAAAGGTTGCCCTAGACTTCTGGAAATTCTTCAGCCAGTCTTTATTGATCCATGTGCCCATCACAGTGTTGTTCCACCGGTCCTCACTCCTCTCTTTTACCCACCAACATCGAGGGACTGTATGGGCAGCAATGACAGGTACCCATGCCTTGATAGATGCCTTCCGATTGTACCTGGAGGGTGCATGGCTCAAGACAGGCATGTCAGTTCTCCTCCTAGAGAGATTAAGGAAGTGCGTAAGCACCTCACTCAAAGCTGCTGTGCTGCTGATCATCATCTGCAACACCTCCAGGATCAGTTGCAACAAGGTAGTTATGGAGACCATGACTAATAGATCAGTAGCCTCTCACACAAAACTACTCTAACCAGACAAGCCTACCACTTACCAACTTCAGCCCACAATGATAAGGGGTTTGCCTCTCTGCCCTTTATACCTGATTCAGCTCTGTGCCAGTCACTTCCCAGCCAATCGCCTAGTGGCATGGATGGATGCACATCAGGCTGGGTCAGCAGCATCTGTCTCACCAATCACTTGTTGCCCTGATCTCCTGCCTAAACCTGCCGTCCATTTTCTCCCGAGCTCCTGATCTCCTGCCTAAACCTGCCGTCCAGTGAGCATTTTCTCCTGAGCTGGCAACCTGACAACCCATCATCTTCCCCTGACTCACAGTGGGCATGGAAGGGTTAGCAACATCTGTCACACCAATCATTGATGCCCTGATTTCCTGCCAAAGCCTGCAGTCCAGGTGGCAGATGTAGCCATCTCATGTATCCCATTGGAGTCCAGGCATTCCAATGAGGTTGCTGTTTTGGTGTTGTGTTATAGTGCTATAGCGCCATAGCACTCTAAAATGAACGTTAAAAAAAAACCTGCCGTCCATTTTCTCCCGAGCTGGCAACCTGACAACCCATCATCTTCCCCTGACTCACAGTGGGCATGGAAGGGTTAGCAACATCTGTCACACCAATCATTGATGCCCTGATTTCCTGCCAAAGCCTGCAGTCCAGGTGGCAGATGTAGCCATCTCATGTATCCCATTGGAGTCCAGGCATTCCAATGAGGTTGCTGTTTTGGTGTTGTGTTATAGTGCTATAGCGCCATAGCACTCTAAAATGAACGTTAAAAAAAAAGGATGGAGATTGCCTGCACGGGCAAAAATGGGCAGGAAAACAAAGTGGGGCAGTCTGAAATGCCAAACCGCTTCAAGAGATGGCTCCTTACTGGTAGGGGAAAGGCTGTGTGAAATGGCAGCCCTGTATCGGTTTACTCCAAGACAGTACAATAATGGCTTTAAAACGTCTTTAAAAGGGTAATGTGAAATTCCCCGTAGTGATAAATTTAAATTCCTGTGTTCAGTATAATTGTTGGTGACGTGCATTTTTTTTCTATTCAGCCTCTCGGGCTAGCCTGAGTGGAACCACATGGTACAGTAATGCACATATCAATCTTCAACAAGGATGAAAGGGAAGATGCCTAAGCATAGTTACACCCTTCCAAGTTTGTTGAAGCCAGTGGGTATAACTCTGCTTAAGGTGGTTCTAAAACCTGGTTAATTTCTCAAACACTTTGTCACCAAGAAATAATGCTTGAATAAATTGATGAGAACAAGCTATAAATGGGAAAGTCTTTAACTACCTTTTTAAAATGTATTGACAGCTCACTAAACCTGACATGACTTATCTAGAGCCTCATTTACTGCAGTACTCCGATACACAGGGCATTAAAAGGTATGATTAATTCAACATCATGTGATATTTGGGTGCAGTTTCTCATATTAGTTTTGGTAGCTATTAATGTTGTGCCACCGCTAAATGTCATTTGGCAACCATGGTACCACTTATTGTTCACTTTACTGATTGATTTGATTTGTGTCCTGCTTTTTTACTGGGGGTTAGAAAGTGGCTCACACCATTGGTAATCTATAATTTTTTACATTTTACGTTATGAAATTAAAGCCATGAAGGTTGAAAAGTGCCCATTTGGGGGCATTTCTGGTTAGGAAAATAGCACAGGGTAAAGGCTGGAGGGCCCCCCCCCCCCGCACCACAATCTGGACTCAAATCATGAAGCATTTGCACTTGGGAAATGAGCTCCTGGCAGTGTGACATGTGGTTGATTTTCTTAAAATCAGGTGGGGGAACCTGGACCCAACGGGGGGGGGGAATCTAGTTTGGCCTTGAGCCAATCCAGGAGCAGATGTGCAATGCAGTATTTGCCTGTTTCTCTCTCTCTCTCTCTCTCTTTTTTACAGAATGTGAACTGTAGCACTAACATAAGCACTGTTTCTAATTTTTAAATCACTACAGCCAAAAATGTGTTTTCTACTCCTCCAAACAGGATCACACCCACTTTTGTATTATTAAAATGTTTTATTATGATTATGAACTGCTTAATGCCAGTGATGTGATACTGTCTGTTAATTTTATACTTCAGCTTCAGAGAAGAAATTGCAAAGTTTCTTACTGAGTATGCAAAAGCTCCATCAGCACTGGATCCAGAACATGTAAAGTACCAAAGTATTATTTCTGCTTAATACTGTGACAGTAATCTTTAAGATCTTCATTGAGGCTTTTGCAAAGGTTGCTGGGTTTTTCATCCCTTTCAAATTGTTTTGGAAACTGTGCAACTCTAAAAAGTGATGGGATGTTTAAAGACAATTGATCATGATTGCATGTGTGTGTTTTAAATGTTTAGATAGAGCAAATACCCCACATAAACGATATATTATACGTGTCCCATTTTCCTTCAGAGACCTCAGATCACCTTGCATAAGATTCTGAAGTTGTACAGGTTTTTTGGGGGGAGGGGTTAACTGGCTCAACTATAAAGGCTGGCTAATTCCTGCCCTCTCTCTCTCTGATCCGTTCCTTTAATTCATCCGTTCCTTTAAGTCATTAAAATAGCCACCTGGAAACACTGTTTTATTTTTTCAGTTTCTTTCTGTATACTTACAGGAAGCAGTCAATTACTAAATTTAGCCAGTGGATTATCACTGTATGTAATGTGAGTAGGCCATGCACAGTATCCTTCTCAGAAGATGGTTGTATTGACTGTGGCATTTTTGCTTGTGACATTCTAAGTAAAAATAAATTACCACTTGAAAGCAACCTCAGAAAATCTGAGCCAGTAAACAATATGTTGGTCTAAGTGACATATGCTTTCATAATTTCACTTATGTAATAACCCTGTAAGAATCCTGAATACAGGAATGATTGGATTCCAGCCAGTAGGATCAATATGTATAGCAGGGAAAAAGACAACTGCTTGAGTTTGAGGATATAATGGCCTCTTTTTTAAAAAGTTGTTTGAACCGCTGACAACTGGATGTGGCAAACTTGTTTTAAGTCTAAAGAAAATCAGAGCTTCAGTGGTTTGGCAGTTTTGCTCATTGTAATTTGATATTTCCCCCCAAGATTACTGTGATGAATGGCTGTTGTGCCGTCTTCGCTACTCTTTCAACTGTATTGTGTGATCCTGGAGGTAAGAAAACTTGCAGTTCAACCTTGTGCAGAATTACATTCTTTAAAATTAATGGACTTGGAAGGGTGTAATTCTGTTTAGGATTGCAGTGTTAGATACATATTACCCATAGATAAGAACCATTCTGGTAACTGATGTTTCAGTTTGTTCCAAAAAAGGGTTCCTTTTTTAATAGGCTTATCTGGGGATAATAGCTAAATCTCATACAGGGCAATCTTTTTATCACTTCATCTTATTGAAAATATGCCTTAACATAATTTACAAGTTTAGCTAAATTTCTTGTGAAATTCATAAAAGCTAAAAAATAGTATGTGCCTCTCCCATCCTAAATAACCCATTCAACCAAACTGGAGTTTGGATTAATCATAAATTGAGACATAAGAGGTGAAAATAATTACTAAAAAATTGTATATTGGTGGGCTTTTGAGGGGGGAGTTGAGTGTATGCTAGTAATAGTATTTGATTTAGAAACTTCACTTAATTAGGGCTGTTCTTTGGCACCATTCACTCAGACAGTATGAACACATAGAAAAAGATTTTGAAAGTATTAGTCTGCTATGTGCAAAGTATAGCACTAATTTTTAACAGCTGATAAACGTGCATATTGTCAATATTACGCGGTGTCGGCCCACAGCAGACCAAACATGGGTGCAATGGTATCCAATAAAGACTGGAGTCTCTCAGGCTTATGTACAAATAATATACAGTTTATTATACAAGCCTCTCACCAAATTGCAAAGTATAGCACTAATTTTTAACAGCTGATAAACGTGCGTATACGAAATTTTCATTGTGCTTTTTTGTTGCAGATGGGTATCTAATTCCTGCTCCATATTATGGTGGCATAAATTCCAAAACTTGGCTGTATGGTGGAATGCAGCCTGTTCACGTGCCCTTGTTCAGTGAGGTAAAGCTCTCATTGTTTTATTTATTCATTTAGAAAATTTGTTTATGCTGCTTTTTCAGAAACCTGCCTGAGGCACCTTACAAAATACAAAATAATAAAAATAAAACATTAAAATATATTAAAATACAGCATTAAAAACCCAGCCCAGCATTTTAATTAAAAGCCTGGATGAACCAAAAAGTTTGGCCCAGTACATTAAAGAGAGTAACATAGGCTCTCTTTAAAGCACTGGCTGGCCTCAAGGGGAAGGGCATTCCACAAGTGAGGTGCCACTATTGACAAAGCACGCTCTCTGGTTATAACCTCCCTCACACCTCTGAAGGGTGGGCCACAAAGAGTAGAGTTTGTGAGACGGATCTTAACAATATGGGAGGCGGTGGTCCTTCTGATTACCTGGCCTCCCAGGCCTTTTACGGGTTTAAAGGTAAGAACCAGCACTTTGAACTGGGCCTGGAAACATTTTGTTGTGCCCACCACCCTGATCAGAATTCTAGAGGAGCCTGCAGGTTCAGAAAAGTTGGGGACTCCATTTCTAACCATTATATTTATAAGATTATTGCCTTGTCCCATTGATACATTACAGTTTCTCAACAAATACCTCCTTTTTTCTTCTGTGTACTTGCAGAGGTGGCAGTATGTCACACCCTAAAAGAATGAATTTGGTCTCTAAGGATTTGTGCAGGAGAATGAGATGATAGAAGAATAGACTATACCAGACCATGCAGTATCACATTTTTGAAGGTTTTTCCTATCTTAACCCATTGCAACATCGAATCAGACCAAGCCACAAAAGATTCTGCACCCTTTCTCTATGCTTCTCTAGGTTGTTAGTTGCATGGAACTTTTATGCAAAAGCATATTCAAAGCTAGAATCTCACCTCCAGGCTGAAGTGGTAAAATTCATTACAACACTTCTTTGACACCTCTTTCTTTTGAAGGTGTGAACCAGGCCTGAAGACTTTTAATCTCTGCATCAGTATATATCCAGTATACAAATTATTCTTTGTAAATAGCAAATTCTTTGCAAGACTGAAACTTACAAACATCAATGAAAATATTGACCTTGATCCCAGAAATTCATGAAGAGCAATAATGGTCTCCAAATGTAGGAAGGGAATATCAACAGTACAAGAAGGAGAACTCAGGGCATGAATGCACTATTTGCTACTCATGCATTTTGCTGTCTTTCCTCTAACCACAGTAACTACCTTTAAGACTCTCAAACAAAATAGTTCATTTCACTGTAGATTATTGCAGTGAGAATTCCTAACTTCAGTTTTTGTTTTAAATTTTATGCAGGTGACTAATGAAGACGGTCGTCCATTTCAGCTAACAATTGAAAAATTAGAAATTGCATATAAGCGAGCGATGGAGCAGGTAAGAATATTTTAAACTGAACTCAGGTTGGTGTAAATTTGATTACTGTGGGTTGTATCCGGTCAGCCTTTGGCAGAAAACATGGGTTTCTCCTACATTCCCAACTCCAGCAGCCCCTTTCAATCTCTGGAAATATTATTTCTAGAGTTGTGGAAAGTATGTGGGCAGCCACTTAGGCTGGGGTAGGGGGCTGCAGTACGAAGGGATTGAAATATCTCCATGCTCTTACATCGACTCTAGACAGGAGGAAGAGGTGGCAGCAGTTTTAGCTCGTCTCATGACCTGCACACCTGTCTGTTCTTGCAATTCCTGCTAGTTCAAAAGTAATATTTATAGAGTTGAAATGGATTGCTGTGGGAGGGGGAAACCACATCTGTCAGTTCCTTCTGGCATTTGGTTGGGTCCAACCCAAGTCAACTTTGCAATGAAAATGGACACACTTCCATATAACGGATTATTAATATTGCAAACATATGCAGAGGGACTCTAGTCTAAGCCCATTGATTTCCGTGGACTTGGACTGGAATAACTTCACAAGGTCGCACTGTAAGGCTTGTAAACACAAATATTTAAATGAGTAGGAGTAATGCTTGCTATAAAAATGATCTCATTCTTCCATCCTTCATGCTGGTGTTTATAATTTTCTTGTGTAGATTTATGCGGCAATAGCGTTGTTGCTGGTTGGGCATATCACATCTGTAATATTGTAAGGCAGACCTTAACTGTTGAAGAACAAATTCTAAGCAAACAATATTAAAAAGCTGCAAGATTCGAGTCCAGCAGTACCTTAGACACCAACAAGATTTCCAGGGTGGAAGAGCTTTCGAGAGTCAAAGCTCCCATTAATAAATTGAAAGATTCTTTTTTAAAAAATGATTTTTCTTCAGATTATACATGGAAGCGTTGTAGATTGAAAGTTTGAGAACATCATAAAACATTCAAAAGCTGTTTTGATACTTTACATGCATTGCATTTCTGTGATAGTTTTAAATGGGTAAATTGCAGAAATTCCCAGTACGTTTTAACAACAACTCTGCCTCCCAGGGAAGAAAGGCATTTGATATTCCTCTGCCTTTTATGTATCTATTTACATTAGGCACATTCTTTTACCTGTACTATAGTCTCCTCAGTGAGAAAATGTTTGCAATTCATAGGGGCTCTGGAAATTGGCACCAAAATATTCCAAATTCTTTGAACACAAAATATAAATTTAGCAATGTGAATATACATGAGAACTTGGATTCTTGTATAATTTGTTGTGCATAAGACCAAGAGTCCAGTAGCACCTTAAAGACTAACAAAATTTGTTGTAGGGTATGGGCTTTTGCGAGTCACTGCTCACTTCTTCAGATACAGCTAGAATGGGAGTCCATCTGTCCTATATATTAGAAAGTGGAGTGATTTCAGAGGCCAAGTGACATTGGCAGGCAAATGACAATAGCAGGTGAATGACAATGGTAGGCGTGATTTAATTAGGTATGATATGCAGAGAGATAGTAGGTGTGGAGAAATCAACAGTTTCTCCACACCTACTACCCCTCTGCATACCACACCTAATCCAATCATCTAGCATCTGAAATCACTCTGCTTTCCAATATATAGGACAGAGTGACTCTCAAAAACTTGTACCCTGCTGCAACTTTTGTTAGTCTTGAAGGTGCTTCCTGGACTCTTTTTTATTCTGCTACAGCCAGACAAACATAGCTACCCATCTTGTTGCGCATAGTATTTTTAGAATATGTGGAAATCGTTGATTGAAAATTATTGGAAATTGAGTAGGCCTGGGCCTTCAAGGAGAAAGGAAACTGATGACAAAGAGATGCAGACAGGGGGATTTGTATAGAATGATAGACTGAAGAAATCCCAGTTGCTGACTCTTTACTGTGCAGTCTCTAGTTCTTATGCCATTGATACAGAACAAAAAGCCAGTGGGAACAAAGCCACTGCTATGGGAATAGCACTTAACTGGGACTAAAGGTTGGATCCAGCAGTAATTTTCAGTGACAGAAATTACTTCCCCTGCCCTAGTATGGCACAGAACACTTTCCAGAATGCTGCTCCTGGGACATAGGAACAGTAGAGGCAATGAGTCAGAGATATCAGCATTGAAGAAGAGAATTGGTGAAACACGTCCTTCCATAAGAAATTAGCACTGGATCCAACTCTTAATGTCGGTTTTAGTAGGGTTTACATGTACCTAACTCATGCTGCATAGCATTTTTAGGGTTTTCTATGTAAGAATAAAGATTCAGATTCAGAAACCTTTAATGGCATAAAATGTAATAAGATTTTTATTGGAATATTGTTTGTAAATTCATTTGGTAACTACATAGGTTTGTTTTAATGGATATGAAATAGCTCAGTTAATTGTGACAGTTCAAATTTTCTTATTTCATCTTAGACATTTAGTGGATAGTGGAATCATTATACTGTGATTTGGATCGTAGTAACAGTGTGGTTTACTGTGTGGTGTATTTTTAAACTATCTTTTAAAGAATGGTGTTAAAAGAGGTACTCAGACTTCCTGAAATGAAGTCTGTTGCTAAACAAAAACATCTGAACTAGTAAAATATTATGGTACTGGAATGTATTTTTTGCTTACAGAGACTTGGATTACTGTGCAATCAACCTTAGTACTTGACATTAATAAAATGGCAACTTTTCAGGCTCGTGGTCCTGTGTGACGTCGTGTTGGGGTCTCCGACTATCAGTTTTTCTTTTTTCAGGGCATCCGAGTCAGAGCATTAATCCTGATCAACCCTCACAATCCATTAGGGGACATTTACCCAGCACAGTTACTGAAAGAATGTCTAGAGTTTGCGCACAGGTTTGAGTCCTAGCGCTATTTGTTTGGGCTTGTAATTTTCCATGATGCAGAATGTTAGTTATAAAACTGATTTTGATAATCTCCTTATTTCATTTGGCATATGGTCCTCCAAGAATTAATGTTTAAAATATCTTTGTTGTAATTAAACGTTGCATGGTCATTGGTAGGGAAAAATATTAAGATTTCTTAAACCGGCAGTCTGTTTTGTAAAATGTAAAACCTACAGTTCCTATTTTGTGCGATGTTAAATAACAGAGTTCTTTAATCTGGATATCTTGATAATTTAATATTTAAAGCCTATGTCATAAAAATGAAAATAGGTGATTACCAAATAGATAGATGCCTTGATTTGAAAATATAGCCTTGTACAAGTTTATGGCGTGTGTTTATAAAATGAGGCTGATGATCAGGAGATCTAATTATGCCAACCAACCTGTAGAGGTCTAGCAGTGCAACCCTGAGTAGAATTACTCTAAGCCCACTGATCTAGGGCTCTTCTGCATCCTCATTTTCTTTGTTTGTTTGGGAGGGGGAGTTCTTTTCCAGATGTCTTTTGCTCCCTCTGGTGGTCGATTTGATATTACATTGTTATATGTCCAATGTATTACAAGCAATAGGGACACACAAGCGCAGAAAATGAGAATGCAGAAGAGCCGTTAAGACTGGAGTAGATCTGCCTAGGATTGTATAGTAAATGGTACCCAAATTAATCTTCCTCAGAAGAACTTTCATATTTTCTTGTTATTTCTCTAAGGGTCACATTCTAAGATCTAATTTTATTCTGCTATGGATTCTTGCTTAGTCAGGAAAACATTGATTTCACATGTAGTTTTGTCTAAGTAAGAATGCAAGGATTTGGATATGTACTTAATGACTAATCTAATGGAAATAGGATAGCATTTTTAAATATATATATATATAATAAATGGATACATTTTAAATTTTGGAGACTACTAGATATAATGGCTACCATTATAATAATTATCATCATGTGTGTGAAACCTCAAAGGGTAATATTCTTCCCTCCCACTCCAGGATGACCCTGAAGACTTGAGGCTGTAGTCTGCCTCTGTCATTTTATGTACTTTGAACTTTTTCATTTTTGGAAAAAGATTATTGATACCTTTGTGTCTTTCATACATACTTTGGCCTGCTAAAATTATTTTAGAAGAGCACAGTTTGGTGTGTACTTTGTGGCTTTTACTTTGTGGCTGCTGTAAAATAAGTGCATGGTGATTTTTCAAGCACTATCTGGCTTGCACAATATTGTGTAAAACTTACAAGTACTTGGTTTTAACTTGGTTATAGTACGGCTAAAATAGGGAATTCAAAAATACATTATTTGCTTAACAGAGAACTTTAGGTGTATAGAAGATCTTTGCTGAGAAGAGTAACTTGATTTAAAAACAAGCTTATTAACCAGTTTGTACTTGTATCTTTAAGTACGATATAGCTAACTTGGATGAGCATAGAAGGAAATATACGGGCTTATAAATGATTTGCTAAGGTGCAGTTGCAATAATGCAATTTTAATTACACCCACTGAAATAATTTTTGTGTTTCTTATGTATATAGATATCAATTACACATAATAATGGATGAGATTTACATGCTGTCCGTATATGGTGATACCACCTTCACAAGCATCCTTAGTTTAGATAGGTAAGTTAACATTTCTGGTCTTGTAAAAACCAATGTGTGTCATTTGGGCTTTCTAAATGGACAATCTGATAAATATTCCTGTTTGTTTGACTTTATGCAAAAATAGTCTGTACTTTAGCTGCCTCCATAAATCATACTTCAAAACAATGACTGCAGATACAGAAACAGTAGATTACTGGAAAACTGCTGTTGCTTTGTAGCTAACTCTTTAATTCATTTATTTTCAGTCCCATGAAATGGACTGCTTCACGTTTCTGAAATCATACGCAAAGTACAATGGCTGTAACTCTGCTCCCTCTGCATACCCAGGGGCTCTTCATTGGGTAGCTTGCTTTACTGCTTTACACACAGCTGTGTTACATCATGGCAGGTCATTCAGTGAAAAGTCAAAGTGCTTTAATGCCTTCCCTGGAAATGTCTAATAACATTGTCTTCCCTGAGCTCTTGTGAATGCCAACAGTTACTTTCCAGGTAGCCTACATTTTGAGATGTATATGTGTGCTTGAGAATGAATGGATCACTGGAAAATTCAGGGTGAGGCATAAGTTTTTCACTGAATGTCTTGCCAATAGTATATTTGGCATCACAGTTTACACCCCCTACAAGGGCAGAAGAGAATGGTAAGATTGTGCCAGAGCCATTCCACACCGTCTTCTGCATGCCAGAAGAGCTGGATTGTGGTCTGCATTCTTCATTTAAGACGTCACCAAATCTCTGATCTGAGCATGTCATGGTCAGGATATCGTGTGCAATGCAACCCAGTGTTGTTGTTTTTTATGGTGTAAACCATCTTGGAAATTTTGAAAGATCTGTATGCATTTTATGAATGGACCAAGTAGTCTGTGACATACCTGTTCCCTCTGCATACATAGGGATCTGCAGAAACCTTTCTCAAAATTGTTTGTGTTAGCAAAAACATTTAAACTTCTTCACTATCTAAACATAAAAGATTTTGTGTCAGTATTGTTATAATTCGAATGTCTGAAGATTTATACTATGACTGTAGTATCCTTGAGTGCATTGCATGGTGCAGTTGTTTCAGTGGATAGTACAGTTTGGTGCAGATGCTTGTATGTGCATTGGACTCCTATGCCTGCAGCAGATCTTGCTGGATTAGAATAAAATTCCTTCCAAAAACTACTTTTCTTTATGTCTGAAGACTAATATTTATTCCTATAAAACATTAATTTTCTGAAACAATCTTTTCTTAAGTTTACCAGATCCTGACCGGACACATTTTATGTGGGGATTTAGCAAGGTAGGTTTGGAACATTTATTTATATTGCTTCAAAATGTAATTGATGTTTCAAATTGTTAATTGTCACATGTCCCCTCCCCCATGTACTGCTTTTTTCTGTAGGAGGTTTTGTAACATCTTAGAACTAGTAGCATAATTATGGGCAGTGTTGCCTCTAAGCTGAGTTAATGTGAGCTAGCTCACAGTTTTTTAGCCTCCGGCTCACACATTTTTGTCTTCGCTCAGGAAGGATGGCTCCAGAGCAAACTAATTTATGCAGTAGCCAAGTTGCTTGCTCACAACTTTAATGTCAGTAGCTCACAAAGTAGAGTTTTTGTTCACAAGACTCCACAGCTTAGAGGGAACATTGATTATGGGTTGGAAAACTTAGCCCCTACTGCGTCTGCATCACAAGCCAAGCCACTGGTGTGATAGCATATTCTGTTTTTCAGGTGCTTGATGGAAACTGATGTTACAGTTAAGCAGTTTTAATGTGTCATGGGTGAAAGCATCTTTAAAGAATGCAGGAAGAACAGCTCACAATATTTGTGCACCAATTTCTAGATACAGTTCTGTAAAATACCATCTAATTTGGAACATAATTTTGAAAACTGTGTTTCATAGCTAGTCTCTATGACCTCTTCAGTCATGACACAGTTTTTCTTCACCTTCATTTCTTGAAAGAACAGTGGGTTATATGCAGTGTCTATATTCTGCTGATGGAGGAAGAGGTTCTTTGACTGGTGGATCAGACTTGTTAGATACAGCCATTGAAATTGAGCCTGAAGATTGCTGTTGATGTCTGACTTCAGTGATGCATAGCATCTTTTCCCTTTGGCTGATAGTATATAAGTATATTTAAGCACTCCTGCTTTGTAAGTTTATTTATGAACCACTTTGTTTTTGATGCTTTATGATCAAATTCCAAATGACGTCTTTAAGGTGAAAATAACATTAAAAGCCAAAAATGTATACAAAAACATACAAGGGAAAAATAAAGTATAATAAATAGCTCATTTACAGGAGCTAAACTCTTAAATCTGGCAATATAATGTGGTAATGAATTCAGCTGTTATGACTGAAAGGTGATCTATAAATAGTTTGTGAATAAATTGGTTAACATAAAATAAATGATTCCAAAGTATGCACTCTAATTTAAAAAGCATAAATGCTTTGATAAATCAGGATAGAGTTCTCCTTGTCCAGCATCCTATATGTATAATTCCCTTATGTATTGGCCATTTCCAGCTCTCCCGTTGGCTGTGCAGTGTGCTCCATCAACCATTGGCCCATGAACCGCCACTCGAGTACTCGCATGCTGTTTGGCCCATCAACCACCACTCAAGAGTGTGCTGGGTCCGCTCCTCTCCCCCACCTACTGCCAGCCCAGACACTCTCCCCTGACAGAATAAACTGCCAAAATGGCTGTCTGTCCTGACAAAGACACTTCTCCTGCTTGGATCCTGTGGGACTAACTTTTCCCTCAGTGGCTGTTGCGAGGCAACTAAGTTTGGTTCTGCCAGTAAAAAGGCAAAGGCCTTTGTGGGGAACTCATTGGGGCCAGTCCTGACTAGGGTTGCCAGCTCCAACTTGGAAAGTTCCTTGATATTCTGTGGTGGAATCTAAGGAAGCCAGAGTTTGGGGAGGGGAACCATAGACTCCACCCTCCAAACCAGCTATTTCTTCCTGGGGGGCTATTGCTGCCAATCTCCAGGTGAGAGCTGGAGATCACTCAGAATTAAAACTGCTCTCCAGATGGCAGAGATGAAGAAAATGATGGGCTGTGTGTCATACCCTGCTGCGGTTGCCTCCCCAAGACAGCCAATGTGACATAGTGCTTCAGAGCAGGGTCTTCCAGACCCAGGTTCTTCCTGTGGAAGCTGATTGGGTGATTTCAGACCACTCACAGACTTTCAGGGTAACCTACCTCACAGAATTATGTGAGCTGCTTTCATCCCCACTGTGGAGAAAGACTGTACTTTTCCTAGGTTACAGGGAGGGGGGAAGAGATGGAAACCTGAAGTCAGAGGGGTAGATAACAGTATGTTGATGGTTGGCTGGGAAGGAAATAGGATTGCCAACTCTGGATTGGGAAATTCCTGGAGATTTGAGGGGTGGAGCCTGGAGAGGGTGGGATTTGAGGAGGAGTGAGACCTCAGACAGGTACAATGCCATAGCCTCTACCCTCCAAACCAGCCATTTCGTCCTGGGGAACCATTGTTTCCAATCTCCAGGGGAGGACTGGAGATCACCCAGAATTACAACTGCTCTTTGAATGGCAGAGATCAGTTCCTGTGGAGAAAACAGTAAACTCTGTGTCATTATGCCCTGCTGAGGTCACCACAGCAAATTGACGCTTAATGCCCAAGGCCAGGGCACCCACCCAGAGCCTTTTTCTAGATCTTGTTGTATTTATTTCCACAACGGCCTTATTCCTAGTTATTTAGAAGAATCCCAGCAGTCACTGGTAATGGACATTCTGCACAGCTCTGGTTGGGGCATGACCTGGGTTCAGTTCAGACACCATTAAAAATACAGCTAGTGTGATTGTCTAAATGTAGGGCACTCCACTAACCATGGTTGGTTAGAGCTTATCAGGTCAGGATCTCAAATGATACTTTTAAATTAGTTTATTAACCACAGTTAATTGTGCTGATGTGGGTAGGACCTGAAGAAATGTGCACCTTCCTGTCCATGCTTTGACTGTGATCTTTCTGAAAAGATGATGCCAAACCAGGTTAGGGAAATATTTCAGCAAAATGGAGAAAAACATGGAAAGTGGATGATAATGTGTGGGTGCTGCAAGTTAACTGGAGCAACTCTTCCATGTGGAAGCAACCAAAGGCTCTGTTCACATTGTAAATTGCTTATCTGTAGCATCCAGCAGCATATCGAATTAGACGCAGAGTATCTGTTCTACTATCCTGAATGCAGGAGGATAGAGAGAACATAATGGTTTATGTTACTACATGGCCTGTCACTACAAACAGTTGGGCTCCACTGTGGGTGCAGTTTCCACATACTGAGGCTCCTATCTGAGACTAGATTTAGGGGAACAGCAGAAGTCTCCAAACTAAGATTTCTAGTCTTAATAAGCACTAACTTACGAAAATACTTTGGGAAAAGACTTCACATTTCCTTGCTTTAGTTAATGTCCTTTTTTAAAAATGATTTTTGTATATGGCCAGGGACCAGCATACCTGCAGTACCGCCTTTCCCCATATATACCCCAGAGAGCACTTCGGTCAGGTTCTCAAAAGTGATTGCCCTCCCTGGCCCTAAGGAGGCCAGACTGGCTATTGCCAGGGCCAGGGCTTTCCCAGTGGCAGCCCCATCCTGGTGGAACGAGCTCCCGGAGGAGATCAGGGCCCTGCGAGACTTTTTGCAGTTCCGCAGGGCCTGCAAGACGGATCTCTTCTGCCAGGCTTTTAGTTAGGGAGCCGCTACTATTATAGAGCCCTGGCTCTTGGTCCTTAACATATTGGAATCTAACATCTAACCTGTGCCTCAGGGAGATCCAGAGCAGAATTACCTTCAGAGAGTTAAGCCATCTTGGATAATCAATTGCAGCACTTTATGTAACAGTAATATCAATGGAATTGTTTTTAACTGTATTTATGTATTGTGAGCCGCCCTGAGCCTGCGTTGCGGGGAGGGTGGGGTACAAATTTGAATAATAAATAAATAATAAATAAATTGTAAAGCACTAAGATGTTTGCTTGAAAACTAAGAAATCCCATCTCCATGATCAGAATCAGAAATACACTAGAAATTGATTTTCCTTCACATTAATTGTGAATAATACAAATATATAAATATATTTTGCATATTAATATTTTAATTAAAATTAATCTTCTCTTCTTCTTTGCTCTTGTCCTCCCCCCCCCCCCAAAAAAAAAAGGATTTTGGCATGTGTGGTGTCAGAGTTGGCATATTATATACCAGAAATGATGAAGTCAGGAAAGCTGTTAATAAGCTGGCAGTTTTTCATGCATGTCCTGGACCAGTGCAACATGTTCTCAGCCAGTTTCTTAGTGACCGAGGTTAGTAAATCTAAGGACACCATGGTACTGTTTATATCTAATTCTCATGTGTTATGCATAAGTCTAAGATTGCATTCGGACATTACAGTAAGCTGCAATTAAGCTGAATGAATGAATCTGACTTGTTTCTGAATCTGTATACAGGACTTACTTCTTCTCTTACCCTCTTCTTTTTGCATGACGTATCGTAGTTAGAAACTAACTCAGCTTACCTGTGATATACAAATACAGGTGTATGGCTCAACCAGCAGGCTTGTATTAAAATCCTAGTTGGTGTAGGAACAGGGTTGCCAATTACAGGATGGGAAATTGCTGTGGATTTAGGGTTGGAGCCTTGGGGAGGGTGGGGCTTCAGAGGAAAGGACCTCAGGAGGTCATAATGCCATAGATTCCACTCTCCAATGCAGCTGTTTTCTCCAGGGGAGCTGATCTCTAGAGGCTGGAGATTGGTTGTAATTCAGGACATCTCCAGGCCCCACCTGGAGGCTGTCAACCCTATGTAGTGAAACTAGTTTCAGTAACCCACATGGCTGCACTTGTGTATTGTGGATAACCACAATTAGTTTTTAAGCAGGATTCTCTGCGAGAAGGGAGGAGTAAGACCACCAGCATGCTGAGTTTGTGCATGTGTTGACTGACAACATCTGAATGTAGTCCAAGTTATGAGTTCCAGCCCTAAACATCAGGTGCATCTGAATTGCAGCTCAGGGTGACCCAGCCATTTCCTTCTTTGAGTGTAACCAACCCAGTGCCTTAGTCAAGTTGGAGTGAATGATTCATTAATACCCTGCTGTAATGTAAGAAGTATGGAACGTTGGGTGCAATTCACATCTCACTGAAGTCAGCACCTAAAAAGATAGGTTCACCATAGCTATTAGCGGTGATGACTTGATGGAACCTCTGTATTCAGAGGCTGTTCACAGGGACAGGCTTTGGCTTCTGTGCTCTGCTGTTAGGCCTTCTAGGGGCATCTTGTGGGTCACTGTGTGGGACAAAAACTAGGTTATATTGCCAATGGTTTCATTGAGCTCTTACAGCTGTACCTGAATAATACAATTTGTGTTCTTATTTTGACAGAATGGCTGGATAATGTGTTTTTCCCTACCAACAGAAGAAGGCTTAAGGAAGCTCGGAATATTCTTGTGGATGGTCTTGCAGAGATAGGAATACCTGTTTTTAAAAGCTCAGGAGGATTATACATCTGGGCTGACTTCAGAAAAGTATGTGAAAAAATCTGGAGATCAGGAAGGGTTGGCTGAAGGAAATAAGTACTGCTGGCTTTTTTTAAAATGCTGAACTTTAATAATATTTGGCATCTATCTGTGCATATCAAGTGCTCAAAGTGCTTTATGTTCATCGTCTCAGTAATCCTTACAATGAGGCTGTGAGAACAGTGGCTTACTTGAAGCAGCCTAATGAGTTTGTAGGTGAAATGTGATTAAAAGTGTGGACTTCCTGGCTCACTCCTTTAGCCACTAGAGTGCATCAGGTGGTGGGTGGGAAATAGGCTGTTGTTCAGTGGATACTGGAAGCATATGTGCAGGTAGAATCTGATGTCCATTTTTTGTGCCTGGTGGTATTGGCTGAGACAACTTAGACTGGCTAGAGTTAAAGTTGTAATGTACTTAACCTAGTGGTAGGATTAAGAAAAAAACTGGGACAATTTTGCATCTGGTCCTGAAGAAATAGGTATTTTGTTTTTGAGCCATGCAGTAGGTCAATCTAGGCAAGCTCTAATGATTCTGGCCATGTTGATACTTTCAGAGAGGGTAAAGTGCTTTTCTGTTTTGATAATGTGGCTTTATATGGTGTTCTATTAATGTGTTATCCTTTGTTTTTCTTCTTAGTTCTTAAAGTCACAGACATTTGAAGCTGAAATGGATTTATGGTGGAAGCTTCTCCAAGAAAAGCTTCTTATTAGTCCTGGGAAAGCCTTTTGCTGTTATGAACCTGGATGGTTTAGATTGGTCTTCTCTGATTCAGTAGATAAGATTTACTTGTGTAAGATTAAATTTTGATATTTTTTTCACCCCCGCCTGCCCCCAGCATGATACAACCATTAATTTCAGGCTATCAGTATGTTCCATGTTGGGTCTGGAAAAAATTAAACTGACAAAAGCTTTTTTTATGATAATATATATCATCATCATAAAACAGTTCAATCCTATGCAGTTACTTCAAATTAAGCCCACTGAAATCAGTGGACTTAGACTGGAGTTAACTTGATGTATGATCACACCAATTTTCCTACATAGGCCCCAGTCACACGGGCCGGATAACGCGGGGGGGGAGGCGGGACTATTTGCGCCACTGCAATTAGAGCCGCCAGAACGTGATCCCACGCGTTGGCAGCATGCCACGGTTCCTTCCCTCCACGCCTGCGCATCGAGGTGCCGGAGGGAAAAGCCGTGCACCGGCAAGATCACACCGAGGGAGTCCAGAAGCAGCCTGTGGCAAACCGTTTGCTAGTACCTTCGAGGAGGTAGTTTTTTATTGCACATTTTCAGCGGTACGCCACGGGTTGACCACGGGTGCGCTCCAATTGCCAGATGTTGCGGTGTGATCGCGCCCGGAAAATCTGCCATTCGATCATGGCTCTCCCGCAGCAAATTCAAAGGTTCACATTGCTTGATTATACTATTCTTACATTCTCTGAATTCTTATCTGGACATTGCACTAAAATAAGTCAACTGGGGCTGCGGTCACACGGAACATTAGCCACGTAAAAGAGACTGAAGACAGGCGGATTTTCCGGGCGCGATCTCACACGCACATCTTGGAAGCGTAGCGCTTATGTGGCACAACCAAGGCTTCCTGCCAAAAACACGCAGCAAAAAACTAGTACCTCGTTGGTACTAGTTTCCGGAAACCGCGGGGCAAGGGTGGGCGTCTGATCGCATTTCCGGTGGCATCCGGCGCCCGCCCATGTCCCCTTGCGGAAAAGGGTTTTTCCCCCCCCAAGTCTCCGTGGATGCGCACACGCACCCAACGAAGCATGCACATTCGTCGTGTACACAAAAAAAGAAAACCAGTTTGCCGCACCGCGCGCTTCTTTGTTGCGCGCAGGCGTGTCTTGTGATCGGCACCTCTCCCTACCCACAGAACCTCCACGGTACCTCCACAGAAGGTCTGATCGCTTAACGGCGCGTTAGTTTGCCCCGGGGCAAACAGCCATGCTTCCCCCCCGCAGTTTCCTGCCCATGTGACCGGAGCCTGGGAGGGCCAAAAGCTGATCCTTGTTCTTAAGGTCTTCAGGAAGGCAAAATTCCAACTGGCATGTAAATATGTGAAAGCTGTCATCTGTATAACTGTTTCTTCAAAAAGCAGAATTGCTTGATTGGCTCAGGTCCGTAGCTTATAGCACAACAAAGACTTTTCTTTAAAACAGAACTCTTCCCCCCCCCCCCCCCCCGCCCCCCCCCCGGGGCGCCCTCTTCCATTTTTTTTTTAAAAACCCTTCCCCCCCCCCCCCCGAGATATCCCAGAGGGTACCTTATTAGCCTTTTATTAATGGACTTTGTTTTGGCAGCAACAGACTTAAGTGTTTATGAGCCAAAGCCTGCATGCATCGGACAAATTGACCCTTGACTCCCACAACCTTATGCCACAATAAAAGTATTGATTAGGGATGGGCATAAACCAAACCGTAAAGTAAAAATAGCTGAGAACTTAAAAGGGACTGCAGAAGAAAATGCAAAAAACAGCTGAGTGGCAGGGAGCTGCCCGCTGCTTTTTGCACTTTACTGTGCAGTCTGTTTGAAGGGACTGCACAAGAAATCACAAATGAAAGCTGCAGCGGGCTCTGCGGCTCAGTTGGTTTTTTTTTTGCACTTTCTGCAACCACACACACAAACACCCAGTTTAAAGGAACCGCAGTCTCTTTCAATGGGGTTTGTGGGGCCATGAAACCCGTAATTTATTTATTACTCTTTATTTTTAGGCATTCAGAGACTTCAACAAATGCTGCATGACAAGATAGATGAATCCATTCCCATCTGTTCATCTCTTGTAAAAAATGAGTATTGCAAGTCAGATGATGAAACTTCTAACTACATGAGCACTTCAGTGGATGATGTTCCAGAAGGATGTTCACACCTGAAAAAAATAGCTGTTTTTTGAGAACTTGAATACAGATGCGTCATGTTTTTCTTTTATTGTATAACTTCTCACTGTTTGTGATTGTAACTTCACAGGCACGCCTTTCTTTCATTGTAACTTGTAGTTATCAACTTGGTTAGTAGAATACTTGAACTGTTTTTTATGTTTTTTGGAATCTAGCATGCATTCTTCCCCAATTTTCCTTTTCCTGGAGCACTGAAGCCTAACTTGGACATGACAGTGGCAAAATCCCATGCCGAATTCATGAATTGTAGAGGGGATGATTTAAAGTGCTTTGGGGTGGGAAGGATGAAAAAGTTCAGTACTTATTTCCCGACAATATTGCACTTTCCCCTGGTTTTATAGGAATTTGATCATGCCACTATAACACCTAGGTTGGCCTCAAAGCATGGCTGTAGCTTCAGGCTTGTTTACACTTCTCGGTATTTAAATTTGTTGATAACAAAGACATAACATTAGTGCTTTGAATATGGACAGTTTGCTTAGTGTATCTTGGCCCACCAAGAGCAAAACAACTTTATACTATGTATACATATCTTAAATTAGAAAATACTGAAACAAATAATAACTAGCTACTGAATTTCTTCTGAATTGGTAGACAGCAAAATGTTCAGTTATTCAGAGTCCTTTAAAACACTGCTAAGATTTCTGAATGTGCACAACTGTAAACGCTTTCTACGAAAGTGTTCAAATTTCTAGTTTCATTCTTGGCTTTTTAAAACAGGCTGTTTATATATTGTACTGTTTAAATTATGTTTGCAAAATTGTCATTTGATAAGATGTAAAATTGAATCCTGTAAATACTTTTTATATGCATATACTTGTTTTCTGGTGTTATTGGCTGTGGAAGGAATGGGGCATAGGGATTAATAGTGAACGTTGATGTTGAGTTAACTGAAGTATGCTATAAAAAGAGTGGGTGGGGGGAAGACATCTGATCTTAATTTGGTAGCCACCTGCTGTAGCAACGTAGCTACAACAATATCAGGGAAGGTTATTTTTTTACTCCCAAGTCCTGATACATGGAGCAGTAATGTCTTCAAGAAATTGGTGGGAAAGAATCCTTACAGCTGATCACAAAAGAAATATGAGTTGGCACAATAATAAAGGTCTGAAAATGGCAAATATGATTTAGGATGCATTAGTGGAAGCACATCATTCAAGCTACAAGGGAAAGAAAGCTCTGCTGTACCCCAGGCAGTAGTCCTTAGGGGTGTGCCTTCGAGTCCACCTGAATGGAAAATATACCTGGAAAACACCATATCGGTATTTTTGGGGTATATTTTGGCTTCCCAAATGTATTGGATTTTTTGGGAGAACCGTAAAATAATCCCCCCAAAAAAATCCTGGATATACCAGCAAAACTGGGCTGCCCAGTAGAACTTGTGGGGAGAAATCTCCCCGCAGAATTGGCTCCTGGGCAGGCTTTGTTGGACAGTCCAGTTTAAAGAGACTGCCCAAAGGGGCCCTAGCTGAACCTCCCCTCAGTTGTTTTTAGTGGCTTTACTACTCCCCCCCCCCCTTTTTTTGGTCTGGGTCAATTGGTCCTGAAATTTAGAATTTCTGAAAAATCCTGGATCCAAATACTTTACCAGTATTGGGATCTGGGTTTTTTCAGGAATCCCAAAATTTGGGTGTGTGTGTTTTCCAATGGACCTGAACGGAAAAATACAGAGGGAAAAATTGTGCACCTCTAGTAGTCCTGTGTCCTCCAGATGCTACAGAATTGGAACTGGTTCAGAGGTAAGAAGGAAACATGGTTGTGGATCTGGAAAATGGGCTCCGTCTTCAACATCACCAATATTAAGACTATATTGTTTTGTTTTACAAATGCAGAAAAAGGTTCCATGGTTCTGGGCAACTGCCTTGCTACCTCTAGAATCTGGATATGATTCATTGTAGTAAATATACTAGGGTATTTTCTGCACACTTCTGGTTTTCTTAGCAGTTGATCCGCGAGCATTGCAATCAGTTTGGGCAGTTTTTCTGCGCATGCCTTAATAATCTCAGGATTTTCAAAGTGTTGGTGTCAGTGGTTTTTTTAAAAGACAGTATCCATATACTGCTGTATATCTGAAAATGAAGAAGAGTAGGTTTTTGTACTCCACTTTTCTCTACCATTAGGGAGTCTTAAAAGTGGCTTACAATTGCCTTCCCCTCCCCACAACAATCACCTTGTGAGGTAGGTGGGGCTGAGAGAGTTGTAACTGGCCCAAGGTCACCCAACAGACTTCATGTGTAGTGAGGAATCAAACCCTGTTCTCCAGCTTAGAGTCCACTGCTCTTAACCACTACCCTGGCTCTCTCTGAGTACAGCTTTAGAAGAAAAAAACAGCCTGCCCTAGTGTCAATACCTAATAGTTCAAGCTCTTTGGGAAACTGTTAAGTAAAACGATAGGATTTGTTCTTATAAAATTTACTACTGGTGAAGGGGGGGGGCTCTGACCCCAAAAAAGGCTATGGCTGAGGACTCTGACCCTTATAGACAAAAGCCACACAAGACAGGCTGTAGCAAGGTGGGCAATCAGGTGAGACTGAGCAAAGAAGCCAGAAGAATTCAACCCAGAAACCTAATAGCATTGTACCACAGATTTATCCTTTACATGTTTAGCTGTAACTACTGTTCTGGCCCCATGAAACCACATCTTTCAGATGATTTTGGTTAATCGCTACAGTTAATGGCTTTACTAAAATGTCCATCAACCATAAAAAGAACCTCATCCAGCAGTTTTAATTTAGTAAATCGAAATGATTCTGTATATTGCTTGCCTTTGCTATACATAAGATAAATTTCTCTAGTTCACAATTGCTTAATATTTTTATAATAACTTTAATGCTTTTTTTTTTAAACAGGAAGAATGTTTTTGCTTTTTATTGATCACTGAAAGCTTTAAAAAACATGTTGGTATACAGCATACTTCTAAAAGGTACCAGTAAATAGAAGCAGTATAGTAAATCTAGGGTTTTGTTTTAAATAAAATTCAGTGTTACTTCATTTTAAGTAAACAGCAAAGTGATCAGCATACAAATAACTACTGATCTGAGAAACAATGGGGGGGATCCACAAATGGTTTTGAAGTAAAATAAGCCTTTAAAAACATCTACCCCCTACCCTGTAGCAAGGTTATTTCACTCTTACATATAATAGCTCAAAATAAGATCTGCATATGCATTTTTCCATTGAGTTGCATAACCAATTGTTAACATTTTCTAAAGTTCATCTTCGTGAACGTATATGTATAAGAACTTCCCAGCTATGTGATTCCTGAAGGCATTCAAGGACTGGCTGAAGTATCTTACATGCGTACATATGTGCATTTCTGTTCATAAGTACACTGAATTTTTTAGCAAGGACATGTAGGACAAACAGCTACATTTTTAAACGGTTACAAGTTTTAGTCACCACTTTGTGACTATTCAATGAATGTGTTTATAGATTACAAGTATTTGTATAACTTGTGTTACAAGTTATAAAATTAAGTCAACAAAATGCCATCAATTATTTTACTAACTTCTCCGGCCCTCTATGAAATCAATTTCCAAAGGTTTTCCTATTTTGCATACCTTATTCACAAAGACTTAAGTGGTTATTTACAAGCCTGCACAGTTGACATGTTGGGCTTAGTTCTTCGGTTTAATTCTAAATGTGTACCTTACCTTTATTAAACTCAGTAGTATACAAAGGTTTCTCCTAGATCTCCTAGCCAGGTACTTACCAGCTCATACTTACTTAGTTTTTGAATGAGTTTTCAACCCATAGCTTAGACTATCTTCATAGAGGCATTGACATTTTTAGAATAAAATAAGGTTTTTCAGCTGGATCTCTACACTCATTCACCCACAATCACATCAATATCAAGTCCTAATTATTAGATCAGTGTTCTTTTGCAGATTGACATAGACACTGTACAGAAAGTAGTAACATTGGTATATTTCTACATAACACAAGTGAGACATACAAAATATAGCCCTCACAACAAAGGTGAGTAATGTAGTTTAGACAGAGAAAACAAAAGCAAATTTTAGAGAAGACTTGATTTTAACAAAGGCACCCATATTTTTTAAAAAATAAATAAAAGCCACTTCTAGGGCCAGGTGGGTAACAATACACAAGAATTTGTAATAAAATTATATATGTGGAATTTCTAAAGACAGCCTACAAGCTGCTGGCCACAGTTTCCTTGATTGAGATTGCTGGAGTAGGTCCGACATGAGTCCAGATATAACCTTTTTCTGGCCTGGTAGGAATGGTAGGAAAAGGGGATGATCGAGACTTGAAATACTCCGATGGCGCATGACAAACAAAATCTAAGTATTCGATTTTTCTTGGGAGATCTTCTTCTGGTCCTTTAGTAAAAAAGGAGGAGGGGGGAGAAAAGAGAGCTCTTTATCTCTCAAATATTGTATTAGGTACATGTACATCATAATTCCGCTACAACATGTTACAGGAAACTGGTACCTTCTTCCTATCCACTACATAAGCAAGCAGCAGGCTGCATAAGTTGGTAGTGCAACTGCATTATTCCCCCCCCCCCATGTCAAATGGGGAAAAGTTGCACTTGGGGGCCACAGGAAGGACATAAAAAGCTATATGGGACAACTGAGAGATGACACCTCTGAAAGGCTGGCAGCACACACAGATTGTCAGTATAGCCATGCTCCCTAGGATTACTTCAGTGATGGTAGGGTGGGGGAGAAAGGCAGATATTTGTCAAGCTGCAACAGACATGATGGATTCTAGGCTAAAAAGTAAATACGAGATTCACATGTTTTGTGTGCACATACTGCAGCCCCTTTCCACAGAACAATGGTCAATGACAGATGAAATCAGCACCTTTATGGACACAATGCAGACTGTTATCAGCACAATGGGTGAGAGTACTGGCTGCTTTTCAAATAGGTAACTTTGATCTTTGGTTCATTTTTCTTCACATTGATGCAATCTAGTATGGACAAGCAATCCCGGGGAGACTTGAATGGCACCTAAGTGTAACTAATTAGCTAATCCTAAGTAAGAAAACCAAGCCTAAAACTACACAGCTACACCACAAGCAGTGCTTTACACAATGGTTTCTCAGAAAAAACAGCATTTTAGGCCTTGGAACTTACCTATTATGTAAGTTGCAGGGTCAAAACAGTCTTTGGGGCTAGCTGTAGTAGGAATCAGCCATGTTAAAGCTGCACTTTTTTCACAGTACTGGTCTTGAATAAACCCTCTAATTTGAGCATAGTATGTTTTACCATCCTGCTCATCAATTACTGAAACAACATCTCCAATCTGATAGTAAACTCCCTAGAAAAGATATAGACAGTTAGAGGTTTTTTTCTTTTTTTAAAGACTTTAACAGTTGTTAAGTCTATGGTCAATTAATCATTTTGCTGCCCTTACTGGTCTACAATTTTGCCCTTTTCCTATACCACCACCTCAGATAGATCATAATGTTTTCTTGTTTAATGGCATCTTTGGTGTCTTCTCCCAACAAACAAGAAATGAAAAGACCTCCCCTTTATTTTCCTTTTCTCTCAAAGGCAGTAACTGGGAATCGGCTGCTTTGAATTCAAGCTAGATAGCTACCAATATTGTTTGGGTGATGTAGTTTAACATTCAGATATTTTAAAAGCCAAGCATCAATACCTGATCTAACAGACATTAATTAAGCTGGAACTGCACTCATAAGCTTGGATATAAACAGCTCCTTTTGCAAGTGGAAAGTGCTCCTTCTCATTAAACAGGCACATGTATTCTCTAATTTCCTTCTTGGTTGCAGTTTTCTGTGCCTCTTCAGATAATCTTCTAATTCCAGAAGTTCACAGATTTGCAGAAACATATTTGCAAAAACATTTTGGCAAATGCTTCCCTTAGATCTTGATGTTTCTTTGCACCTTCAGTGAACTTAATCATCTTCTCGTGAAATTTTTAAACTCTACGTATTAAAAATACTCTTAATATCAAGTTTAGGTAACAGTGGTAGTGCCCTTTGTGAGATTTATAAAACTTAAAAGCCATACCTTATAAAAGATAGATTCTGCTGTAATTATAGTAGCTACGGACTCTGGAGCTTTGATAGGCTTAAATAAGAAAGGTACAATGGTTAATGTACAAAGAATGTGTGTGTTACTATTGTCTGAAATATTATGCTTTTTTGTAAATTAGCTTTTGCCAAGGAAAAAAGATTACACAAAGCATCTTTGGACCACTAGATAAAAAATAAACATGGCAACAAATATCACTTATTCCTTTTAGCATTAAAAAAAATGATACAAATTCATTGGAATATTTCCATGGTGTGCTTCAGCTTAGAAAGCTTTTCAAGATTTTATGTACTGCTTACTCTGAAGATCTATACTAAATCAGAAACAGAAAAGTATCTCATTTAAAGAAACCATCTGAGAGCCATTTCACACATCATGGTTTGCAAGAATATACTGTCTATTTCAAGTAGCTACATGTGTCTATTTCAATATGAGAATGTGAACTGTATAGGTAACATGAAGCAGTAATCTATGCTGCTGCTTTAAATGTCAGCATACTCTGAACCAATGTTCCCTCTAAGCTATGCAGCCCTGTGAGCAAAAATTCTACTTTGTAAGCTATTGGCATTAAAGCTGTGAGCAGGAGATTTGGCTGCTGCATGAATTAGTTTGTTCTGGAGCCATCCTTCTTGAGCTGAGACAAAAATGTGTGAGCCAGAGGCTAAAAAACTGTGAGCTAGCTCACACTAACTCAGCTTAGCGGGAACACTGCTCTGAACCTATAAGATTTGGCAATGTATATGCTAAATACATTAAATATTGATACACTGTATACACATTTTCTTAGTCTATTTGCAAAAGTGGAATAGTATTCATAACATTGCATGAAGAGTTTAAGCAGTTCTGTAGTCTTACACTTGGACCCGCTAAATAAAATCTAAAGGACTGCAGAAATTGAAGTGAAACAACTTAGGCCCACAAAGGAGATGTGACTGCATCCAATGGGCTCTTTCAGAAACAAAATGAACCACTGAAAAATGATTGAAACAATCACAACAATTCAAGATATACAAATAGTCTAAAGAGCTAGGACACAGCTTCCCATTTCATTAATAAATTTCTTGAATCTGTACTAGTAAATACAACACTGTGTCCTATTTTTAGTTTTACACTACAACTGTAATCTAGTGGAACTGGAAAGTTCCATCTTAAAACTACTGTCTAACTAGACAGCAGCCTTTGCAAAAACAAGCTCCCTTTGTTCTTCAAATTCCCATGTCAACACCCATTCTAGGCCATTACACTCTCCCTTTCCTATCCAGCCCAATTCTAGTACTATGTCCTGCCTTTTTCCCCAAATCCCTTCACATATGCCACTTTGTACAGGTGTCATTTCCATAACACACCCTTCTATTTGCTTTGTGTCGATATAAGCTTTCACTGCATGCGACCCTGCACACATCCATCCTAAACAGAACCACTTCCTGTGCAGGCAAGCTGAATCCCAGGGAGATTCCTGTGCCTTTGGTTTTCCCTAAACAGAATTTATAACTACATAGGGAACGTTATACTTGATGCTAACCTTAAGGTGTAAGGCTCTTGTACCCACTACAGCACCTAGCACATTGCTAGCATTTAGTAAACAGTCAACAGTAGCAGGAGTCCATAATTATCTTACATTTTTTAACTTAAAAATGTGCCTTCTCCCTTTTCCTTTAGTAGAAACTTTCTTTTCAGCTGCAGGAGCAGACTTGTACTTTGTGTTCCTCAGTCGAGCAGATCTCCTGTGAATTTCTTGCTTACTCTATGGTATGCAAAAATAAATATTGGTTACACCAGAGCATGGATACAATCAAACGCACAAAAACAATAATGATATCCTATAAGAAACTGTAGGATCAGTCACCACCGTGCCAGAAAAGAAATCTTCAAGTTCAACCCATCCTAAATCAATTTATTTAGAAATTTAAAAATCCCATTAAGTTCAGTGAGAAATTTGGTGGACTAAGTAGTTCCAGTAATTCTCTGGAATAACCAAATTCACGTTTCAGCCGAAGTTAATTCAGACTCATGCAACCCACTCCTATTCATGGTTACAAAGAAAGTCACTCCCATTACACCTCTCTGCTAAATTGCGCTGCAGCTTTACATACACCCCAGAAGTATACAGTATAAAGTATGTTTAGCATAAACTTAATCATTAAATGAATTAATTTGTTAAACATATTAATCTGCAGAATGGTTAAATTAGGTAAAGGTAAAGGTTCCCTTGCTCGAAAGCCAGTCGAATCTGACTCTAGGGTTGCGGTGCTCATCTCCGTTTCAAAGCCGAAGAGCCAGCGCTGTCCGAAGACGTTTCCGCGGTCATGTGGCCGGCATGACTAAACACCAAGGCGCACGGAACACTGTTACCTTCTCACCGAAGTGGTACCTATTTATCTACTTGCAATTTCTTGCTTTCGAACTGCTAAGTTGGCAGGAGCTGGAACTAGAGATGAGGGAGCTCACTCCATCATGTGGCACCCGAGTCTCGAACTGCTGAACTACCGACCTTCCACAGCCTGCAGTTCAGCGTCTTAACCACTTAAGCCACCGCAGCTCCGTATGGTTAAATTAGTCAAGTGTTAAATTGTTAAACCTATGAATTAGTGTTGCTTGCAATTGTTAGATTTGTAGCTTAGTATAGGTCATATTGTTAGAGGGTTAAATCACTAGAATATGTGTTTGTATTTGTAATTTGGAAGATACATGTACTTTGTAATAAATTGTTGAAAGGTTTTTTAAAATCTATTTTCCAGAAATCTATTTTCCCAGAAGCTGCAAACTACACCCCCTTAACCAGTCCAAGTACAACGGTAGCGAAAACTGTTACGAGACAAAGTCGGACACGCTTACTAAGAAGCAACACTAAACCCAGGCGACATTGATATTCAACATATTTAGGAGGGCTGCACCATCCAGCTGCAACCTGATACATACTTGAGAGCAAACCCTCCCGAGTTTGGTGAGGGCAGGCCTCGACCCGAGTAAACAAACAGACGTTTGGGCTGCCTGTAGCACTTGGATGCCCAGCCTGAGAGGGGAGAAGGTGGTCCTTTTTTTCTTTATTCTTCCACTATTAGCGGAGGAGGACGCTTCTTGTGCTAGCGGAAGCAACTCCGCTTACTCTCCAAGAAGAACGCAGAATAAAGTGAACGGGCCAACTGGGGAGCGAGCGAGCGGGCTTTGACAGCCGGCAGCCGGCCACCTCTCCTGGGCACAAGAGGGTCGTCGGCCAACCCAACTCCGCCCAAGTGCTCCGGCCCACAGCGGCGGGCAGTGGAGGCCTCACCTGCTTCCCCCCCCCGCCGCCGCCCCCGCCGCTCCCGCCGTTGCTGTGCTGGGCGGCAGCCGAGGTGGTGGCGTAGGCGGCTCCTCCGGCGCCGGCCGGCCCTGGGCGCCCCGTGCAGTTGTTGCAAAGGATCTCGCCCTGGCCGCCTTTCTTCCACATGGAGGAGGAGGTGGTGCGACACACGCTGCATGTCGGCTTCAGGCCTAGCGGCATCGCGTCGCCTCACGCGCCTCCCCGCTCCCTTCCTTGTCAAACAGAAGCCTGCGAGGCGGCGGCGGCGGCGGCGGCCGCGACGGATGTTGCCGCTGGAAGCGCCGCTGGTGCTGCTCGGCAAGCGGGAGCGACCAGAGAGGCCCAGGCGGGGGAGACCGGCAATAGCCCCTGCCCTCTGCTGGCCGTCCCGCGGGTTGCATGCGACCCAGGCGGCCCCGAGGTTTGCTTCGCGTCCTCCGCTCGAAGAGCAGCGACGCCTTCGAACCACTTACGACAGAGCCCGGCCGTCAGGCGGCCCCACTCGCTTGGAGAGCCGTTTGCAGCAGGCGGTGACACCTCTCGGGACGGTCGCCAAAATGCCGCCCTCGGGGCGTCTCTGAGCCGGAATGAGGTGAAACGCGCAGGCCTGCTGTTCGCATCTTGTACGCACCTGAAAGCTGACGACCCCTGTTTCAAAAAGTTTATTCACAAACTCCTGTTTTGTTGGTATCACCATAGTTTCCCGATATTTGGCATATAAGATTCTTGCAGCTGTCCTCATATAAACAGTCAAATACCTATTCTCTTTTTCATAATCATTTGGAAATATATTCAACAGCAAGACCTCTGGCGTAAATGGAATCTTTGCTCTTAGTATCTTCTCCATCAAACTATGGACCCATTTCCAAAACTTTTTAGTAACATGGCATAGCCACCACATATGGTAAAATGTGCCCCTTTTACTCTTACATTTCCAGCATTTATTTTGCTTAGCCAGTCTATCAAGGTGTAATATACCATCTATAAAACATCTTATACATATTCTCTTTATATGTTATAGCATTAGTCATTTTAATATTTTTCTCCCAAATCTGCCCCCAATCTTCAAGATTTATAGTATGCCCTAAATTCTGAGCCCATACAATCATATTATTCTTCACAATTTCCTCTACCATTGTATCATCCAACAAAATTTTATATATTTTCTTTATCATTTT